ATCCTTTTTTATTTCGGATGATTCATTTGGATGGTGGATTTGTATATTTCAGCTGGTCGTGTTTTGTAACTATGATGAATTTTGGAGGTTTATGTGGTTATGCTGTATCACCATATGCCATGTCGAAACCAATCAGCAGCCTTCTGCACATTCCTGCAGTAGGATATGAGCCACACATTGTGTTGGGGCTAATGATAATACGTGGCTGCCCAAACCTCAGTCAGTGGAGCGGGGTTCGAACACATAACCCACTTGTTGAAAGTCATCTCCCTAAACCAATGAGCTACAACCCCAAAGATGGCATGTTGATGCTAACTGACTGAACAAGAATGAACTAAAAATTTGTGTACGATTTATGAGAAAAAAATTATGCACATACTGTTAAGCAGTTTAGTAATGAAGATTTGCCCTTATCGGATTCTTATTGTCTCTACAGGGAATCTCATGTCAGCAAACTAACGACTTATGTATGTGTTGATCAAACATTAGAAGTATGTGAGTAATGATCATTTGCTTCATCCGGTTTGAGCAGTCCTCACTGCTGTTTATCAGTGACTTCTCCAAAGATGAACTCTGAGATGCTCAACAAACATTTACTGAGCACAAGGACATGCCATAATAAACTGGTATACGTCGCTTCGAAGTGAGAAAACTCGTAAGCAAGCACAACATAGATTCAAACACACTTCTTATTCACTCAGATGCTTAAATATTCAAATTCAACCCCCTCGCAACGTGGAGGATTTTACTAAAAGTATTCCATTCTATAGGGCATTCATTTGTTTGGTTCACTGCCAACATAGCATACCACTATCTAGGTATTTCAAAGTTTGGCATGAAAATACGATTTGGAATAGTGATTTCTCAAACTTATGGTGTAAAACGTAAACTATTCTAGTTGTAACGCAAGTTTACGCGTGAAAAATTTGTACCACCGCTAGTGTTTCCTGTACCCAAAGTATTCATCATGTCTTCAATTCAGATTGAGGCTCTTCCTACAGCAACTGGTGAACCATTGCCTTTGCTTTACTATAAGACGAGCGGTTCGTTCCTAACTTGGTAACTATTTTGTGTTCTCTGAGTTTCAATACTGGGTCATAGTTATTTAACCATTAGGCGTTCTGACACTATCAACCCGATAATGGAGATTTCGCAGTCAAAGCCTAAAAATATCAAACGATCGTCATTCCAAACTATAACTCTCCTCCATTATCGCAATTTCCAGTGTTCACTCTCTATTTCCGAAATACGAAGTATACGTAGACTGCAAAGTTGTAATTTGTACAACATTAGTTTACAACGTCCATAGTCACACAGAACAACATAGAAAATGACCAAATATACAAATAAAAAACTGAAGTTTGTGAATTTATTGACCTTGAAAGACAGAAAAAGAGAGTGGGCTCAAATGAGCTACCGAATGTAACTCAAAGTTACATCCTTTATAATCACTAATGCATTGGTCATCTTGAAGATATGTTCCTTCTCTGTAGTTTAAAGTCCCCAGTTCATATTGAATGGGTATTCAAAACTGTTTGTTTATCGATCCACTGTTCTGAAATCGAATTATAAACTAATATTCGCATATCATACTAGCTCATGAGCTTGAAAAACATGATAATTAATGTAAAATTAAGTCAGTCTTATTAGCCGAGCGACCTCAACAGACTAGTTTAAGACTTTTTAGTTGGTACTATGCAAAACATTTAATCTGTAGTTGAACTTCATACCAACGAAAACTGTAGCAACCGGCATTTCGCGTAAACGTACCATTTTCCCTGATAAAATTTTCACAAATGTAAATGCCGGTATATTAGTGCTGAAAGATAGACGAAATCAAGGTTAGAACCTCAATCAGAAATGCATTGGACCAAGTTCTCACATCTCACAGAAGCATGAAAAGAGCAAGTAGACAGAAAAAGTCATATCAAAGTAGAAAAAGGCGCTAACAAGGAAAAGGCATTTGAAAATCAAAGTTAGTGAAAATATTGAAGCGTTGGAAAACGTTAAAGACTGATTATGTATGCATCATTCTGACCAATTTTCATCTGTTTCACCAAGAGTCCTCAACCAGTGATTCCTATCGTCTCGGAGACCCCAGCCAATTAATTTAATCCTCCATATAGAGCTTAAAACAATATTCAAAGACTTTATGGACAGTTTCCACGTCTTGGTATGGCGACCCTGAGCCTTCTTCCAACCTAATTCAACTTCTAGCATAGCACGTCGAGGCATTCAGTGGTTCGATATGTGCAGTACTTGTCCCAGCCACCTCACTGGAATTAGGTTCACAATCTCATCGAATGACTTTCTTTCCTTGTCTATTACCCTTGGCCTAACCTCTCCGTCGTTCACATGGTGATTTCATCCTACGCGAACAATTCTGCGAAGACACCTGTGATCTAAACCTGTTACTTGTTCCTATCTTATAGGTTTAAAGGCCACCTACCACAGCCGTAAAACAGAACAGAACGGACCGCAGTGCAGTATACTCGTCCTTTGATAGGTAGTCAGATATCTCGCCAGTTGGTGCTGCAGATGACGCAAGCTTTCCATTAGCAAACGGGCATTTTGTATCCAATCTAAGATTTCATCAGCAACCATCCCGGTCGGGTTGATGCAACTTACCGAGTAAGTGAAGTTGTCGACACATCCCATCACTTCACTCTCTATCATTGAACTGAGAATAGCTGCAGACCAGTCCTGAAGCATCATCTTACATTTGAATGGTCCAAAACTCATGCCAAACATACTCCGATTTCTGCTTAAGACGTTTGTAGACCCTGTGTTTTGTCAGCGTCTTTTATGGATAGTTCAATGTCGTTTTTATACTCCAAGTCAACCAGATACTCTTGAGAGAGTAGAACAATCCGTGTAAAGTCAGAGGTGCCTAAGGTTATGCCTATCATTTTATTTATAACAAAGTTGAACAGGGGTGGTAACACCAGACATCCTTAGCGGATACCTCTGGTTGTTGTCGATTCAGATAACAACTCTCCATAACCCTTTTTATGGCTTCGTAAGTTTGAGTAGAGAGCTCTGGTTAGCGGTATATATTTGTTCGTTACTTTCTTTACAGTCAGACACTGCCACAACACCTTAAGACCGACATAGTAGAATTCCGCCTCCAGACTAAGAAAAGTGCAAGTATACTTATGTTCCATAACCTTTTGAAGGGTGGGAATCTTACCGATGCACCGTCGTCCAATTCTGAAACCTGCCTGGTTTTCCTGAGTTTGCTGTTCTCGAGCTTCAGTTAGGCGTCGGTTAACGTTGGACCCTAGGATCTTGGATATGATGCTGGTCAAACTAATTCCCCTATGATTGTCACGTTTCTCGTTTCTTATAGACTGGAACATTTAGTGAAGTAGACTAGTCTGACGCGACTTTCCCTGATTCTCGCATGCATCTCATAGCACTTTTTTCAGTCTGCTCATCAATTTCCTACCCTCCTTAAGAATAATTAACTACCGATAAACGTATATATGTGGTTTTCTTCCTGTAAAATTCTCTGTATGTAGTTATTGCTTAATGAAAGTACGAAAATGTCACATTTTGAGTAAAAGAACTAAATTTTGGCAAATCACTACCACTTGTATCGGTTTGAATCGTCGAAACTTCTGTATGCTTTACTGTTTTGCTTATCAACAATGTCTATCGCCTAGGTATATGGGAAGGTTTAAGCTCATTCCAAGGGAACTGTCTCAATCTCGAAGGTGAAGAAAAATGCTCTGTAGTACTTGTATGGAAAGTAATATGAAATAACTGCTCTTAAGGTCCTGATTTCGGTGATTATTTAACGACTGACTGATTTATATTTATTATTTATTTGTCACTTGGGTTCCTAATGGAACGTAGGGCCTCAGTAGCACGTCTCCAGTTAACTCTGTTCTCTGAAATCTTTCGAACCAGTCTCCACGATAGCCCACAAGCTCTCATTTCCTCCTTGAATGATCTCCTCCATGTCACCCTCGACACCGACGCCCAACTCGTCATTTCCCATCGGGGTTCCACTCGAGGGCCTAACGCGTGATGTCCCCAGTCGGCCTTCTCAGTGTATGCCCAATCCATCTCCGCTTCCTTCCAGCGCATATTTGTCGGGTGATAGGTTCTTGGTTGGTTCGTTTCAAGCCAGAGTTCCTTGTTACTTATTATTATTATTCTGGCTATCTGATCTTCAGTAGCGAGCGTCAGCAGTTGTTGATCAATGTTTGTAGTTTGTTGGAAATGCCTTTCTTAACGTGCGAAGTCTCTGAACCATACAGAAGCACTGATTTGACGTTGGTGTTGAAAATCCGGATCTTGTTCACGCTTTATGCTGAGTGCAGTGCAGTAGATCTGCACACTGGTTTCAGGCTAATGAACGCCTGTCTTGCTTTTACGATCCTGGTTTTGACGTCCTCGCCAGTGCCGCCATCTGTAGTTGAAACAGTGCTGCCTAGATAGGTGAAGGAGGCTACTTCCTTTAGGTTTCTCCCATTGATGGTGATTGGAGTTTGTTGTTGTTGGTGGTGGGGTATCTTCATCATGACGACTGACTGATATCTGCGAAAAACAATCCTGAGAAAATCGGAACTATCCAAGTCCTGAAAGGAGGTAGATCAAGAATATCTTCGGGTTCCAAAAACTAGTCTCACTCCTACATTGATCATATTCTTCAATTCTTGGTTGAGAAGTACTCATGATAGACAGACTTACTCCTAGGAGTTATGCGTAAATGCTTCTATAGAGTTCTGGGATGTTTATCTTTTTTTTAGCAGTCCGACTTATTTCGACACAATGATAAATTATCTTCGAATTTCCATAGGCTGTTCTCATATACAACTTATTTGTTTTCAGAATTGCTAAATGCTCTGTGACTAGACAGAAGAATGCTCAGTGGTTCATCCTGTGAAATATTAATTCGTTATGTTGTTATTGACATTAATGACTGTACTATTCAGCATAATGACATTTGTATAATATTAAGTTTATCTCATACATTTCTTTTTATAATTTAGTCAAATGAAGATAAAATACGGATTGTTTTGAACAAAGCAGATATGATTGATTCTCAACAACTTATGAGAGTGTATGGTGCTTTAATGTGGAGTTTAGGCAAAATCTTGAATACACCTGAAGTGGCACGTGTGTATATTGGCAGCTTTTGGGATCGTCAACTAGTATTTGATACTAATCGAAAGTTATTTGAGTTGGAAAAAATGGATTTGTTTCGTGATCTTGCCACTCTTCCTGCCAATGGTACCCTCAGAAAGTTGAATGATTTCATCCGACGTGCTCGTCTTGCTAAAGTAAGCATTTCTTTACTATCACTTAAATTATTTTATGTTTTCAAAAGAATACTGAACTTAAAGTTGGTATTCGTCATGGACTAACACTACTTGGAGGAGCATTGAAAACCTGGGAGCACTGGATAACTATTTCATCCTAATATGGGACTCCTCAGTAATGCGCACCCATGAACCCGCCACACCAGGGAAGGAACCCAGGACCTTCAGGTTCCGCGGCTAGCACGTTATCATTGAGCCACTGAAGAATACCAACCTGTAATCAATAAGTCCCCACAGACCTCCAGATTGAACCGATCTAGCACTGATTAGTGACTAGTTTCGAGAGGTGATTCCCGAAGTTTCAATGAAAAGTTGTGACCGGTGGGGCAAACCCGATGGACTTGAGGACAGTTACTCAACGATAGCGTTGGATGGAGGTCGCGCTATGTAGTGGACTGATAAGACGTAAAAAACATGGACCGTTGAATTTCGACCCAGTGGCTGAATGGTACCGTGCTGGTTGCAGGACCCGAAGGTCCTGGGTTCGATCTCTGGGTGGGCGGGGTCGTGAGTGTGCACTGCTAAGTAGTCACATACTAGGACGGAACAGCTATCCAGTGTTTGTAGGTGTCCAATGTTCTTCAAACTGATGTCAGTCTATGATGGAGACCAACCTGAAATCAATAAATCCCCACAAACCTCCAAACTAAATTAGTTATAACTAATTCGTTCACTATTATTACCTTTATTATGACTCCTATTTCTCTTTCTCATCTGTAAACAATTTTGACCTTGTTGAACTGCATACTTTTCCTTTTCCTTTCACCAGCATTCACATTATTTAGTAATCCCTCTTCATCTTTAGAAACTGAATTGAACATAATGCTAACGACACAATTCCCCCTTATTGTTTAATAATATATTGTAATGTGTTTGTTGTAGATTCAAATACGATTATGTAACTATAGAAGATGACATCTTCATTATATGAAAATTTCCTTCGTTGATTTCTTTTTAATGATTTAATGAACATTTTTCATCACCACTAAGCCGCTAAGGTCCCAACTAACCAGCTATAGGATTAGAGTAGATTTATAGGTTAGTCACTACATGTTAAACAATCTAGTTATCAAACCATGAATGATGAAAGCTCTAATCCCATAGGGGTTCAGTCCATGATTTCAACTCTAAGTGATGCCAACTGGAATTTTTGAAGAAGCATAAATATCCTCAACGGTACATATTTGCCTTGTTGATGATGATCTAAAAGTATCATATCTGGATTCAATGCCTCGTTTTGACTGAAATCTAACACTCAACACATAGCTATAAAATGTTCATAGATTTCATCACTAGCAAATCTTGATGAGTCTTTGATATCTCATGAACATTTCTGTCATTTCTTGCTCTATGATACATATAAAACTGTTTTAAAAAATCATATGAAGAAGATGCAAAAATAAAAATGCTTCTTTTAAGCAGTTATTTAATATTTCACGCTGGTATTCATCATAGACTGACATCAGTTGGAAGAACAATGGAAACCTGGGAGCACTGGACAGCTGTTTCGTCCTATTGTGGGACTCCTCAGTAGTGCCCACCCACGACCCTGTTAAGGATCAAACCCGCGACCTTCAGGTTCCGTGGCCAGCACGTTACCATTGAGCCCTTGGGTCGGAATTCAATGGTCCGTCTTTCCAACTTCTGTCATTTCACGACATAGTGCAACCATCACCCAATCTCATCGTTGAGTAACTGTCCTCACGACCATCAGGCTAACCCTACTGGTCACGACTTCTCATCGGAACTTCGGTAATCACCTCTCGAAGCTAGTCACCAATGAGCACCAGTTCAATTGAATTTCGAGGAGGTTGTGGGGATTCAGAAATATTCAAAGTTGGTATTTATCGTAGACTGACATCAGTTGGAGGAACAAAGGTAACTTGCGGGCACTAGACAGCTGTTTCGTCCTAGTGTGGGACTCCTTGGCAGTGCGCACCTACGACCTCGCCATCGCTCCCAGGTTTCGATTGTTCCTCCAACTGACGTCACTCTACGATGAATACCAACTTGAAATATTTCTAAATCCCCACAACCTCCTCGAAATTCAAGTTATTTAATAGTTGTATTTCGTAGTCGGTTTTGTGCTCCTCTTTTTGTAGACATAAAAGTCATTTACCAGTAAAATGTTTCCAATTTAGCGGCTTGTGCGTGATCGAATAACTTGATATTCATTACCCGCGGTCGCGGGTTCGATCCCTGGCGGGGGGGGGGTCGTGGGTGCGCACCACTGAGGAGCCCCATACTAGAACGAAGCAGCTATCCAGTGCCCTCAGGTTTCAAGTGTTCCCCCAACTAATGTTTTGTCTTGGTTTGAAACCCCATGACAAAGTATGTACTCATGATTCTATACTGGATTGTACCCAGTATCGTTAGATGTTATTACAACTACCACTGGGTCTCCAGCGCGATACTATACCAAACCCGCTGGTCGCTGGTTCGAATCCGGCTGCGGTCTAAATTTTCATTTCACTTTCAATCATCACCTGAGTATAAATACTAGTCTACCAAAACCATGACTATCTCAGATAGTCGTCAAAAGGATAATCAATGACTTAATGACAATGTTAGAAGATTCAGCTGTAAATGATCTGATTACTCTACACATTGCTTAGTCGAATGCACATTAGTGCAGAAATTCAGTCAGTTACAGGATATATTTTTGTAATTGATGCATATATATTGAATCGTATCGTATACCAGGTTGATAAATTAATATCACTCATAATAAGTCATGTCATATTGCTGGTTTAAAAGAGAACTTTTACAGTTATAATAATGACGATGTCATCGACGAATCTATGTGAAAAATATCCAGTTTTTGTTTTATGCGTATAAGGAATTGATAATTTATTGTATTGAACTAGCGAAAGATAATATCTGACTTGTTGTGGTATCACTACGTGAGTAACGCAGACGTCAGATGTAGAGTTTTACGGAGAAGAGGTAAATCTGTTGACGAGGTTGTGAACCTTCATCTACTGAAATGGTTGAGACAGGTGTTATGTATGCCTAGTCGCCATCTGCCTCGTCACACAATATTGGCCGAAATAGGTTCAGGGTGGGAAAATTCTCGGGGCGGTCAGACTAAAACATGGCACCAATGTATGAGGTCTTTGACCGTTGATCTGAGCCATGTGGAGCGATGTAGACTAGCCGGTTGGGGTCAGTGGGACAAGAGAAACAAGTGGTTGGAGACTGACTGTAGGTGATATGTCTGAGAACCGATGTCAGCGGTGCAGATGTACACACATTATCTTCATCTTAGCGCCGCTATACTGAATCTCACCATTTTTTCATTCTTCCCTTCTCTCTTTTCGTACTTTATATTTCTTTTGACTGAATTTTCTTATCTTACAGTTCACTGCCTTTTTACTTGATGTGGTGATATGAGGTATGGCAACTCGGACCGTTACGCAGTAATGCCTGGTCCTATGTTGGTTTGGATGGATCGAGTATCTAACTTGCTAAAACCATTCATAATTAATTCTCTTATTACTTTTATTCATTTCTTATTTCTATACTGTTTCAAGATGTGCCAACACTTGCCTCTATATTGAAGTTTTAAATGGTACAGTAATAAAATCCATGTTATTCGTTTTAGTCTGTACAACTGAGTAGTATCGCTAACCTTTGGAATCAAAGTCGTGCGTACGTTCATATAGTAGGTAATGAGCCATGCCTATTATAGGAGGGTTGTTGAAACCTAGTTAGAGGGAGCCTGGTTCAAGCCCGCTGCCCATTGTATAAGTCATATTCTAGTTGAAGGGGAGATTTTTCATTTTGTTTCTGAAATCAGTTCTATTACTCATTGAGATTTTGAATAATAGTAAGAGTTTTGTTTTATCTCAGGTGATACACACTTGTATAACCTTTGTATTCATCCTTTTTCTTTTGTTTTTTTTCTTAAAATATCTTTCAGGTACATGCTTATGTTATTTCTCATTTAAAAAAAGAAATGCCAACAATGGTAGGCAAAGATGCTAAGAAAAAGGAGCTTATTAATAATTTATCTAAAGTATACGATACTATATCACGTACACAACATATATCAATTGGGGATTTTCCAAATATAAACAGAATGCAAGAATGTTTAGAAGTACACGATTTTAGAACATTTTCTGCACTACAACCAAAATTGATCAAGGTTGTTGATGAAATGTTGTCTACTGAAGTAGCGAAATTAGTACAAATGATTCCACAGGTAATTTAATCTTTATTCAAAAGTTTTTATTATCAGTCATTTATATTACTTTTGTTATGATTAGTTATTCTGTATCTTTTTGTTTCCTTTGACATCAGTTTATGAAGTTGTTGAACTATGTAGGGTGATGCAGACTGGCCGATTGGCGTCCACAGGATAAGAGAAACCAGTGGTTAAAGACGTTAGGTGATATAACTCGGAATCGATGTCCGTGTCGCAGATGTACACATATATTATCTTCATCTTAACTCCTCTAATTAATCTCATTATTTTTTCATTCTTCATCTCTCTCTTTTACTACTTTATACTTCTTTTGGCCAGTTTCGTCCTCTTTCCTCATCTTCCATTTTGTTCTCTTGTTACTTGGTGCTCTGATATGAAGTGTGACAACTTAGACCGTTACGCATTAGTAATGCCTGGTCCCATGTTGATCTCGACGATGATGATTCCTCTCATCTCAACGTTTTCTTCATTTATCTTACCCTATTGGACTTATTCATTTGACTTTTTTTTCAAAAAGGTATCAACTTAAGTTGATTTACAGTGGTAACAATTTTTTTGCTTTGAAATGTCTTACACATATTGGGTCACCGTCTATTTTGGACTGAAGTAATTGGTAGTGGATTGGGAGATACAGGTTGCTAGGAAAGGAATCAGTAGTTGGAAACTCTTTGCAATCTGACTGAAAAACAGTTGCAATGGCATTCATAAATGCACTCTTTTATTTTTCGAAAATTAGAAGTATTGTAACTTGAAGTAGTGGACTTGTGTTTGAAGGTCCACATTGACTTGTATGTCTGAGTATTGCAGACTGCGTTGTTTTAGTTAGTGTTATTAATTTCACTTCCTCATTTTTTGTGTTACAGTAGTACTATGACCGGTAGTGTGACCTAATAGTGTACGAGCGATACGAACCTTACGCGCAAAAAAAAATCGACTCTAAACGTTAATTAGTATGTCAACCACCAAAACAACAATACCACCAACACGCGAAGGCAAGGAGAGAGGACAAACCGTTGACAAAGAGCTTTTTACTATCTCAACAACAATTGAGAGCAATGCTGAATATATACATCTCTAAATGACCTTGACAACATTAAATCCACATTTAGGTTAAAAGGACTAACAATCAATAAGAGTTCAGTTTGAGAGAAGAGGGGAGAAAGACTAGTAACGGTATGAAAACGGCATTGATAAGTTATTTTAAAGTTAAAGGCAAACATCAGGCAAAATTTATACAAAATTAGAGGTATATAGCAAGTAGTTTTTACATGAAATTCATTTTTTCTTTTAACTTGTGTTTTATCTCAGCCTCATACATCATGTAGTTGTCTACTTCACATGCCAATAATAGCCTTATTTTTACACAATCTTTGTAATATTATTCATCCAGTCATCAGAAATGTCAGCATGAAATTCACTTTAGTCTGGTCTACAGGTTTCACATAATATGAAGGCTGTCTATGCCTTTGCCTATACTGAATCAGTATGACTGAATGTTGTCATTTCTCTGTTCATTAAGAAGTAATTCTATGATTGCATAGCTGTAATTACAACAACGATCCAACAGTTATGCATACTAAATTTTAGACGTTACTGCTTTCTATACCATATAGACTGTTTACATCGTTTTTATGTCTAAATAATTATATATTTTGAAGCAGTACCTATTTGTATCTTTCAGACGCTAGATTAATCATTGCTGTTTATAATAGTGATTTATGTAAACAGTTTTGTTTGATTTTTTTTCTCTTTCCCTTTTCCCCAATTTACCGTAATTACCAATACTCTATTTCACACACACACACACACACACACACACACACACACACACACACACACACACACATCTCAGCACCATACCCCTTGATTTTGTGATCATGTTCACTCTCATTTAGACTAGCAGTTCACAAGATAAGACTTTCGGGCTAGCTAACATGTCCATCAGTCTGTAGTTTTCTAGACCAAACATTTTTTTATCGATAAAATAAAAGCATTCAGGTGATAAGTGAATAGAAGATAGGAAAAAAGAGGCAATTTCAACTGTTTTTTTCATCACCTTGATTATACTGATTCATATTTGTGTTCTATGTAAGCCTATTATCGACTGAACAGTAGATGATTCATTGATGTCACTGACATCAGCTGTCTTAACGAGTAGACAACAACACTGAAATCTGTGTATAAACAGTGCTACTGTTTACTCCTTTTTATTTTCTCAGTTGTATACTGGCAGTAAAAAGCATCAACTTTATAATTTCGTTCCATTTTTTATGATACTGTTTTTTCTCTCGGTTATCTGTCATTAAGTAATCAAGGCGTTCTGAAATTAATATCATTTGAATTCAATCAATTAAGAAGCGTAGTAAGAGGGATAGTAGTTCAGTCTAGTGATGTAACTATGACTCTCCTGGGATAGCCAAGTCTCTTGTGATCGAATTAGTTACGCTTGTATTTTGAGCCACTGGCTAGATGGGTAGCCGACGGCACACCTTTAGTCGCCATTGATCGGTTACACACTTTACTGGTGATTTTAATGGCTATGGTACTAAGAGTCACTGTCTAAACACTTGGTTAACAGCGTATATTGAAGACGTATTGAACTTGGTCAACTGTCATCTACCATCACGCAGAAAGTTAAGGGCTGAAGTACCTGGGTGCCACCTCACTAACTTAGGTGAGTTGAGGATTAGTATTGATCTAGCACTGGGTGTGAGATACACCTGGCCTTAGCGGTATAACTCAGACCGGGCACTCGGCGTCGTCTCAGCTAAAAAGGTACGGGTAAACACCTGGGATTTTGGGGCCTTCTACTTTAGTAGGAGTGGATGAACTATTGTGTACACCGTTTTCATGTATGGCAAATGACGTTGAGTTGACTTGGAAACAAGTAAAATTTTTGAAATCGTATTTTGTGTTAAGATCACTGAAAGTGACCGAGACAATCCTTCGATCTCAATTTCGTCCTTGTTGACTGTCATTACTAACCCTAATAAAACTCTTTACCTCTGGATTTCAACCTCGAGTTGCTCAATCCTTCAGATAATAATATATTATCAATCTTTCCTACTCTTAGGACTAGATGTTATTTTTTGGTTAGTCATCTAAGAGTTAGAATTAATCATTTGATGAGTCTTTAGGGCTACGTATTAAAGGGATGGGAGGTGTTACGCATACTTAGTCAATATCCACTTGAATACGCTTTGCTTTGTGGACAGAGAGGTGCGAAGGTTTTGAAGACAGAAATATGATATCCATCCACAAAGTCTATGATTTCTTAGTGTGAAAAACTTTATGGTTTTAGTATAATTGCTTGTATTATACCGTCATTGATTGGACCGAATTGATCGACCTCTGTTGGCATATGGTCTCCTGTGCGAATGCTTCGATATTGCCTGTGTTTTAATTATTTATAGTAATGATGGATAGTGGCTGGCAGTGGAATCCAGGATGCACATTTCGTCGTATTTGGAACTCGTCAGCTGGATGTATCTGCTTCCCAATGAGTGATATTGTTCTCACCGGAATTCGGACTCGGGAGCGATCGCTTCAAACGCCAGAGCGTTACTAAAACTATACCGTCACACAAAAGTAACTGTCGTGGCTGGATGATGTAGTGGATAACGCTCAGGTGTTTGAAGCGATCGCTCTCGAGTCCGAATCCCGGTGGGAACAACATGACTCACTGGGAAGCAGGTACATCCAGCTGACGAGTCACATACAGGACGAAATGCGCATCCTGGATTCCACTGTTAGCCACTATCCATCATTACTGTACGTAATTTTAGTTCAGCTATTATGGCATAGCAGGAATTGGAATTTGTGTCCAGACTTATCTATTGGTGGACTTCTGTCAAATCTTGACTATGTTATTACACCTTTACCTTCGATTTTGTTTTCTCCCGCCACTTTCAGCTTTGTTTTACACTTCATTATTTCTACTACGCACGTATTTTATATTGATCTCCCCTTCATTGTTCCGTTAGGAAATGCACCAATCTGGATCAATATGTAGTTGTAACACGTGCGTGTATTGTTTGTATGTCTGTCTTTATTTAAAAACTTGTCATAATTGATAAGAGGAATAGCATTTGAGACTAACTTTCCTCATGGAATGGTTTTCTAGACTTTTTCATCTTATAGGAAAAGATAAGATGTGATTGTAGCGAAGAAAAATTCTTCTTTTTGACCAAGTGTATATTGAATAACTGAAGTTAGTTAATTACTACACATTTGAATTTAGAGTGGGAAAATCGACAAGGGATTATGGAATTAAATGTAATTATGCAATATGGGATGAATCTATGACAGTCAAAGCTTTATGATGACCATGAGAAAGATAAAGGTTGAACATGCCTTTTTTGGACGTATAACACTGGTTTGAACTTTTAGATGGTTAGTGCTTCAGCTATAGACAAATGCTTTGATCTTACTACCTTCGAGTAGTTTGATCGAATCTTGTAGATGATTCTGAATCATATCATACTGAGGAGTAAAAAGTTATGCGAGTGTTATATGAAATATGTGCTGATATTTGTGTACATTTTGCAAAGCCAACAGTGAATTTTTTTCTATTCTCTTGTATACAGCATTATAATGCATATATAATTTATCATCTCTTCAACTACTATCCAACTATATAAGCAGAATAAAATGGATCTGTTACTAGTGTACATGTAACAGTCGAATGAGAAAGAAATTGCGTTTTTTTTTTGAGAAAGTAAATAAGAGAATAAAAGTTCAATCGGTCATAATGAAAAAAGAAACAACCAAGATTATAAATAGAATTAATGATTAGAATTGATCAGTAATTATGCAATCATATAGATGTTAGCGAATGATTAAGAAATCAATTTCAATAATGATATTGAGAAAAATGATAGTTCGAAGTTAAAGTATTTCAGCGAAAATTGTACAATCACAAATTTATACATTTTTTCTAGTGTAAAGAGTTGATAGTCAAAAAAAACGGTCTGTTTATTACATGACAAGCAACACAA